ACTTTGTTGCTCTTTTCAAAAAATCCAACTCTTACAGCTTTACTGATATTTTTCTGTTGTCTTTCTAGTTTTCTATTTCATTTTATTTCTGCTCTAATTGTTTCCTAGTGAGTCTCCTGTAGTCAGCATACAATTGAATCTTGTTTTGATTTTTTTTAAATCCATTCAGCTACTCTGTGTATTTGGATAGAGGAGTTTAATTTATTTACATCTGAAATAATTATTGGTAGGAAAGGACATACTATTGCTCTTTTGTTAATTGTTTTCTGTGAGTTTCCTAGTTCTTTTGTCCATCTCTGCCTCTCTTGCTGTATTCATGTTCCATTGGTATTTTTCTGGGAGGGGGGTATTCATATGCTTTGATTCCTTTCTCTTTTGTGTATCTTCTGTAGGTATTTTCTTGGTGGTTATCAGAAGACTTCCATAAAACAACTTATAGTTCTCATATTTGGGAAGTTTCCCACTATTATTTCTTTGAATAAGCTTTCTCTCCCTTTCTCTCTCTCTCTCCCCCCTCCTGCTGGGACTCCCAAATGCAGGTTTTGCTCCAGTAGATGGTGATCCTACAAGTCTCTTAGGCTTTCCTCATTGTGTCTCACTTTTTTTTTTCCTTTTTGCTCCCCTGACTCGATATGACAATGACCAGTCTTCCCGTTCATTGCTCTTTCTTTGGCTTGATCTGATCTGATGCTTGATCTGATCTGATGCTTGATCTGATGCTTGATCTGATGCTTGATCTGATGCTTGATCTGATGCTTTTTCTGATGCTGAAATCATTTGTGAATTTTCCATTTTACTTACTGTATTCTTCAGCTCCATAATTTTTAATTTAAAAAAAATGTTTTATCTCTGTGTTGTGTTGAAATTCTCACTTTGTTTACGCATTTTTCTTCTGATCTCATTAAATATTTTTATAATTTCTACTTTGAATTCTCTGTCATAAAAATCATGTATCTCCACTTTATTGGGGTCAGTCTTTAGAGATTTATCTTGTACCTTTGGGACATATTTCCCTGTTTCTTCATTTTCCATGACTCTGTGTTGTTGTCTGTGCATTAGGAAAAAACAGCCACCTCACCCAGCCTTAATGGACCTTAATGGACTAGCTTTGTATAAAAAAAGACCCTCCCCAGTTAGTCTGTTCAGAGATTGATTATGGAGACCTCTTACACTACTGTGCTAGTCCAAACTACTGCCAGGAAGACAGGACTCAAAGAAAAACCAAACCCACCAACACCTTAATCTTAAACTTCTAGCCTCCAGAACCATGAAAAATAAGTGTCTTCTGTTTAAACCCCAAAAGCTGTGGAAATCTGTTACAAAAGCCAAGCAGACTAAGACAGAATCCTCAGCTATTATGTAAACTCCAGGTAGGGTCACATGCCCTTCTTGCAATTTAATGAGAAGACAAATTTAGCCTGAAATGAAAGAAACACATCAGTTGAAAAAATTAGCTACAATTATAGATGAAATAAAGAACATGCTATGAAAAATAATTTTGTTTTTACAAAGGTTCCATCAAACTCAGCAACATGACATTATATACCTTCTACTGTGGTTCAGTATGAAGAATATGAGGTCTTCTATAAAGTACCAAAATTGTTTAATCCAACTCTAATGTAGATCTAACATAGTTTACAGGAAATAAGAGGCTAGGAGAAATTAAATGACACTATGAGTAAACAATCAGTGAAACCCAAAGTGTTAGAACATTCAACAAGGCAACCACAATGAACTTATTATAAAGGCAATATTACAAAAAATTTTCAAAGAACGGAAACTGTTCTAAAGACATAATAACCAATTGCTGTACATAAACAAAACTGATCCTGGTTCCAAATATCAAAGAAAGGAAAAATAAAGCCTATAAAATACATTCTTGTAATAATCAGGAAAATATAAAGATAGCCTGAATACTAGATAATATCACTGCTAATTTCTTAGTTGTGATAGTATAGAATGACCTAAATCTTAGGACATGCATGGTAAATATTTAAGAAGAATATGCCATGATGACTACAACTTATTCTCAAAAATAGCACTATAAAGAGAAAGAGAGGGAGAGAGAGAGAGAGAGAGAGAGTGTGTGTGTGTGTGTGTGTGTGTGTGTGTACAGAAGGAGAGAAGAGGGAGGGAAGAGGGAGAGCACAAATACGGCAAAAGCTAGCTGCTAAATTTAAGGAGGGTATACTCTTTCAACTTTTTTGTAATGTTTGAACATGTGCATAATAAAAAGTTGGGGAACATTATCCCAAGTGTCATCTTCAGACTATCTAGATCAGGATTTGCAGGGCAAGAATCCATGGATGGAATCCTATGAGCTTCCAACATTCTATGCAAAGTGATGCCTATAATCATGTCTGTGTACGTGCACAGCTTTCCAGAGCATGAGTTCCCAATTTCCATCTGATATTCAGAGTTGTCCACAACTTCCAAAGAGTATGTAAATCACCCCTTCAGAATAAAGAAAATATATGACAAATAGGAAAAGGGCTGTATTTCAAACTCACTGCTTATAAAGCAGTACTGTTCGTATTTTAAAAAGTTAACGGGAAGCAGCCTAAATCCCGTTGTGATCAGAGCCGTCAAGATGAGAGGAGGCCCTGTCCGTGGAACTTTGCACTAAGGGCGGGGGCTGTCGGGGAACCAGAGGAGACTCAGTGGCCTCCTGCAGTCCAAACCTTGAGACTCTGGAGACACCACCTTAAACATGTACTAGAGACATTAGATTGTCTTCATACTCTCTTTCATTCATAATTTTCAAAACAAGAAAAAGAGATCAAAGAGTGACAGAGATGGAAAAAGGAGTATGACTTTTCCCTGTCTCACATTCAAATGTGACCAAAAAGAGTACCCCATAGCTCTTTTCTGTGTTCAGTTCTTCCAAGGATCCACATTGCTGCAGCGGCCTATAGTCTTTTTAAAGAAGACAGTGAGTACTTTCCTTGAACAACTCTTACCTGTTGGCCCTAAGTACAGAACCAGGGAAGGCGGTCATTGGGACAGAGGCTGTGGGCCGGGAGCCCACCCACCAGCCAAAGCCACTCTCTCACCTTGCCAATGGGTCTAAGGAGCCAAGTCCCAGAGCCCCTGTCCTCCGCCACACCCATGAAACCAAGCTGCCTGCTACCTCAGCAACTGTTCAGGATGCAGCACAGGACGCTGCAGTCAGTCTCCTCAACAGGCCCCTCGTACCCCACAGGCAGGCGCCAAGTCTCATTCACTGTGTCCGCAGCACCTCTGGGTCTGACACCCACCACCCTTCAGGTACGCTGTCTGCTGGGGACACTGGGTGGCACGCTCATCAAGGAGGGCTGTGACAGGAGCCTTACAGGGTCCATCACACTAGGTGAGGGCAGAACGTGAAGCTGAGACGTCCACTTATCTGTTAAGTGATCTCACTTCTGTTCCCTCATTGGATCATTACAAAAGCCCTGGAACTAGGCAGGAAGTAATTCATACCCTTTGTCACAGAGGAGGGGACTCAGGGAGAGGTTAGGTGCCCAAGCAAGGTTAAATGGACTGTGGCACACTTCCCTTTCAGGAGACTCTAGGGACCGTAAAAAACCTACAAAAATAAAATGTCATAATATGTAAATCCAAATGCTTTCTATGGATGCATGCACCTTACTGGATAATTAGAAGCCTTTGGGAGAGGGAAGAAATGTGGAACTGAGACGATCTTTCTATAATTCTTGCAACACTAAGTTTGAGAAGAAAGAAAAAATACTGGCCATTTTACTTTAAAAAATGGAAACGTGAAACATATAGTGACTACAGAAAAGCAATTTAGTAAAAAAAATAAAAGTGGCTCAAAATAAAAGTTATGGTTCCATATTATACTGCTTGCATTTACCAATATTATACTGCAACTTCTTGTGTACAATATTTTGGCATTTTACAGGTTCTGCTGTACTTGGAAAACACGTTTTATATTTGCAAAGGTTTTAGCTAGTAAACACTATATTTAAAAGTTAATGATCAATATGTAATTTTATTAGATTATATATTGTTTTATCATGAAAATAGAATAGGCACTAAAGAAAAATTTGAAGTTAGGTTTTAAAAAATGACCCAGAGGCTCATTACCCTAAAATTACAACATGCACATAGCATGTGGATTGACTTCCTTTCAGTTTCTCTTGGGTGTTTATGATGTGGTAATCATACCACATATAATGCTTCGGATTATGACTTCTTCCCATAACATTGTATCGTAAGAGCTCTTCCAGATTATTACACCATCTTTGTAACCACAATCTACAATTTATGGAACTACTAAGTAATACTTTAAGTGTTTACTTAAACACTCTATTTTTAGACAAGTAGGCTGTTGCCAAATTTTTACTGTCATAAAGAACTGTTATTTTCTTCCCTTTGTTTCTTTTAGATAAATTCCTAAAGTATATTACCAGGTCAAAGTGGATGATAACTTTAAAGATTTTTGACAAATGCTTCCTCAAACGTCTAAGTATACATTGTCACTAGTAATAAGAGAGAATACTTACTTGATTGTACTCTTATCAATAATCAGTAAAACATTTGTATCAGTTTATTACTACTTTTGCTAGTAAGTGAAAAATATATCCTCACTATGCTATTTTGCATTTCTCCCTGAGAATACTTTTCCACCATACGATTACTGGCTAGTTGAACTTTTTATAAGTTATTATTTATGTCCATTATCCATTTATCAATTGGCTATGTATATAGATTTAAAACTAAATTTGTGACAGCATTTTCTGTAATTACAATGTTAACCCAATGTTTATGGTGTTGGTGGGAAATATTATCTCTCCAATCTATCATTCATTTCAAATTGTTGTTTTAATATTTACCCGGACACTGTCATTACTTTTTTCCCCTTTGTGATTCTTTAAGAGGCTTTGGAGCTAACTCCCCTACCCCCACCCCTTCTTCCCTGTGTGCTAATACTTAACACATCTCCTCCTCAGCTCTCATGCTGTTAACATTAGGCATCCATATTCAAGAGGCATTACCTGCTGGTCATCAGGAGTCCATATGCCACATGTGATCTGACTTTCCAAGTTGATCTCAGATGACCAGTGTCTTTGTCCACTGACAGAACCGACCAGGACAAATCCATCTCGATATGAGATAAGCGCTTGAGTCCCATCATGGCTCCAAGTGAAATCACTCACCTTTGAGACACACACAGACAGAAGTGGTCAATTTGTAATCTTAAAGGGAGAGTACTTTTATCAAAGACTAGATATAGTAATTAACTTAGCCTTTGGCTGAGATCAAGATGGCGTTAATGAAAACAATACAAATGTATATAATGTATGTATTAAACAATATATAATGTAAAAAGACATCATTTGGAAAGCATGGGTCAGTGTGCTGAGTGCTTCACACACGCTAATATACCTCATAAATACCACGGTGGAGGGTATTATCATGCTCACTTTACAGAGAAAATAGGCACAGAGGATAACCAAAAAGAGCAGGACCTGTTATAGACAGATGATTTCATTTATCTTGAGTAAATACCCAGAAGTAGAATTAATTGCTGGTTGTTACGTTAAGTGTTTAAGTGCATAAGAAACCACCAAACTGTTTTCCAAAGTGGCTATACCACTTTACATCTCCATGGCAGGGCATGTGAGCACCAGCAGGACCCAGTTGGTGGTACTGGTCTTTTAATTTTAGCTATCCTAGTATCTGTGTAGTGGCATGACATTGTGTTTTAATTTGTTTTAATTTGCAGTTCAACAATGACTAGTACGTTGAGTTCTATTTCATGTGCTTATTGATCATTTGTATATCATTTGGCACATGTCTGTTCAAATCCCTTGCCATATACATCTATTTTTATACACACACACACACACACACAAGTATACATATCATCTATTCATATACAAAGTCTATCCAGAAAAAAGTTCAGCCATTGTTAACATTAACAAGAATGGCTTGTGCAACATCAATGTAACCTGGCAGTAAAGGAGAGTGGACTGTAATGTGCATGTGCACTGTGTGGCCGTCACATTCAAAATGGCTGAGCAGAACAAAGAATCTACATCAAATTTTGCATTAAGCTTGAACATTCCTCCATAGAAACTATTCGGATGATTCAGAAGGCTGCAGCTGTGGGCACCTAGTGAATGCTGGCTTCATCATGACAACGCGCCCGCTCACACATCACGTGCAGTATTTTTGTGAAACATCAAATCACCCAGGTGACTCAGCCCCCGTACCGCCCAGATTGGGTGCCCTGCAACTTCTGGCTTTTCCCAAAACTAAACCACCTTTGAAAGGGAAGAGATTTCAGACTGTCGATGAGATTCAGGATAATACTACGGGGCACCTGATGGCTATTGGGAGAACTGTGTGAGGTCCCTGGGTGCCTACTTTGAAGAGGACTGAGGCGTCATTGTCCTATGTACAATGTTTCTTGTATCAGAAACGTGTGCTGCAAATAATTTCTCCCAGTCTGTGGTTTGCCTTTTCATTTTCTTAACAGTGTCTTTCAAAGAGTGAGTTTTAAATTTGATGAAGTCCAATATCAACTGTTTTTCTTTTATGGTTCATGCTTTTTGTGTCCAATCCAAGGAACTTTTTCCTAACCAGGGTTGCAAATCTAAGGTTTCCAGAAGTTTAATTTTTATATTTATATCTATAACTCCCTTAGAGTTAATTTTTGTGAAGGGTATGAGGTAAGAATCAAGGTTCTCTTTTTTAAATACAGAAAGTCGGTTGCTTCAGCACATTTGTCAAAGACTATTCTTTGCCATCGTTGAACTACCCAGGCATTTAAAAATTACCTTTGACTGCCTTGTCACCTCCTTTTTCTATAGTCATGCCCAACTTTCCATTTATAAAATTGATTAGGTTTTCTCTTTCTCAATCAGTCTTGCCAGCAGTTTGTCTATTTTGTTAATTTGTTTCCAAATACCAAAGTTTGTTTTGGCTGATCTCCTTCTACTCTATCATTTTCTTGCTATTGCCTTAATATCCATGTAAAAAATTATCTTCCTATTTTCAATGGATTTATTGTTGTTCATTTGGTAACTTTAAGGTTATTATTTAAGCCTTATTTAACAATGCATTTTAAAATTACCAAGTATACAAGAATTTCTTCAATTTATCTTTTTGTTATTAACTTCTAACCTAGCTGCATCACATTAAAAAATTATGGTCTATAATCATGATAACTACCAAAGGATTGTGTTGAGGTTTTATTTACGCCCTAAAACAGGGATTGGTAAACTATGGCCAGTGGGTCAAATCTGCCTCCCACCCATTTTTGTATAACCTACAAACTAAGAATGGTATAGAAAGATCGGGAAAAAAAGATGAATAGAAGAATGACATTTTGTTATATGTGAAATTATATAGCAAATTCAAATTTTAGGGTCCATAAAGTTTCAAATTTCATCAATAAAAGTTTTCTAGAAATCCATTTTTTTCCTGTTATACACTATTTACATAATAGCCTCAACTTTGGCTCCTAATCCACAATGCCTTAAGTATTTACTATCTGGCCCTGTGGTGTGGCTCAGTGGACTGAGTGGTGGCCTGTGAACCTAAAGGTTGCCAGTTTGATTCCCGGTCAGGGCACATGCCTGGGTTGTGGGCCAGGTCCCCAGCTGGGGGCATATGAGAGGGAACAGATCTATGTTTCTCTCACACATCGATGTTTCCCTCTTTTTCCCTTCCTTACTCTTCTCTAAAAATAAATAAATAAAATCTTTAAAAATATTTACTGTCTGTACTTTCACAGAAAAGCTTGTGGAACCCTACAACATGATCAGTTTTTGTAAATTTTCTATGTCTGTTTGAGAAAAATGTATGCTCTCTAATTGGTCGATTCAGAATGTATACATGACCAATAGGTCAAGCTTGTGTTAGATCAAATATTCTCTATCTTTGCTGATTTGTGTTTTTGTTGAAACCTCCAAGTATATGAATGCATTTATCAAATTTCCCTTTCAGTTCTATCAGTTTTCTTCATATATTTTGAGGCTATTATTAATAGGTACACACATATTTAAAACAGTTTCTTCATATACCACAGTTTTTATCATGATGTGGTTGGTAATCCTCTATAAATCAAACACTGCTGTCTTTTTAAAGCCTATTTTAGCTACTTCAGCTTTCTTTATTCCTTGCTATTTACCCAAAATATCTTTTCTACCCTTTTCCTTTAAACTTGCGTAGTCCTTCAGTTTTAGGTGTGGTTCTTAATTTTTAGCTAGTTTGAAGTTACTGAAAAAAGTTTTGTTAGATAAATTCAAAATCTTGGTTTTACTCATCTTATATTTTGACCAAGATACTACTTAGTTTCTCTTAAGAACTTAAAACCTGTTTTAGAGACAACACATTAATTCTGCAATAAAATTTGAAAGTGCTTTCATTGTACACAAATAATACTTTTATTTACATGCATTTTAACTCATTTACCTTGGAAACTACTTATACTAAAAGGAAAATCATCTTAGGAATGGCCTGAAACATAAAGTGAAAATCTCATCCAAGACATGACCAATCTTACACTCACAAAATATTATAACATAGGATGTTTACATGAACTAACTGGGTTTATTAAATCAGGTCAGCACAGAGTGATGAGAATAGATTACAACTGGAAAAACAAAAACAGGAAACGCAGTACCAAATGCTGGAAAGCAAGCAGAGAGCCCCCTGCACTGGCTCCCTTCCCGCTGAGAGGGCAGCAGCGCCCCAGCCCCACCAAGAAGCACTCTCCGGCAGGCTGCCTGAGGCAGCCTTCTATCACACCTTTCTTGGCGACTAACACTGTAAAATTATGCATGCGCTGTTCCAGACTCAATCTTGAAATAAAGGACTCAATAGTTCCTAAAAAAGAAATTGTTAAAACATCACTTTGCTTTTGCCAGATATTTGATTACTCTGTCTCAATGAAAGGAATGCTATATAACAAGGATCACCAGTTATTTGTTCTAAGAAGTGTTATCTCCCTTTAAGCAGGTTTCAAGGACATCCCTGTTCCAAGTCATAAACCTGTCCCTCCCCCCATCAGTTACTGTTCCAGGTATGCAGGGCCACTGCTTCTTTGACCAGTGGATTCATCGCCACCAGAGTATGGTGTTCTTTACTCAAATTAAGATCTGACTTCACCGCAATGAAAAGCAACCAAAAAGTAAAACTATATAAAAAAAAAAATGAATCAGATCACATGATACAGTGGTTACTTTGGTAGAACCCAGCAGGCACTGGCATTTGTGAGATTCTAGGTACTTCCAGATATTCTATGGTCCAGGCAATATCATTCACCTTCAGGTCTGAATTCACTCTTCCTTTCTTTTTTCTAACATGCCTGTTTGCACCAAACTCTAAATGACAAGCAAAGCTGTGGGATGTGGAGGTGGCAGAGACCACACAGCTGCTACAGAGGTGGCAGAAGGTTCCCTCCTCAGACAGGCTGCCAGTCAGGAGCAGAAGATGTGGTAACAGCTCTCTGTGGCTGCTGAGGCTGGACTCGAACAGCTCTGAAGTCTGAGCTCTTTCGTAGAACGCTGATCTTTAACAGCCAGCCAGCCAGATGGGTTTATTTGGGAACAACAAAGAACTGCAATCCCTGACGTGCAGTCTAGTGGTGAACCACACGCAGGTCCAGGGGAACCAAGGAGAGGAACATGGCTCTTCTATGCACTTGGGCAGGGCTGTTGTAAGCAAAGGTTCCATTGGAGGAAACGGAAAGTTCCAAGTGTGGTGAGTTCTCATTGGCTGAGCTGTTCCTGGGCCAGGACGACTCTTTCCTTCTTCCTGCTGACAACAGTCACTCATAGGATCACTTCCTGTCAGAGATGTCAGCACCTCCCGTACTGTGGGGTCAGTCCTGTGCGTTAAGTGAACTATGCATGAAAGTTCTCTCTTTCAATCTCTCAACTCCATTTTAAGTGAAGTTTCTGCTTATTAATTTTCATATTTCCCTCTTTTGATCAAGATCTTTCTCCAAAAGCACTGTTGATCAGAGTCAGGTTTTCCAGATTCAGTGGCCTTTTGTCCCTTGATGCCAGAAAGCACCTTTCCTGGGTGTTCTGTTCCATGTCAAAGGAAAGTGCACAGACTGGCACCCTACTGTGGTCACATCTGAGAAACAAGGAGGGGTGGGAGAAACATCGCAGGCATCTCCCATCTAAAGCCTGTAACTCAGAATATGGAATATGGCAAACATACACTCAGAACTGAAATAATTAAATAAGCACTTTGAGAAACCATAATACAGGAATAAAAACATGAGGCAATTAAAGTTATTGTTAGCTCAAAAGAAAAAATGTCTGGAGCAATATGTCTTAGCAATATACCATGAATATATACATTTCTGCTAAAAGAGCAAACAGTCTCTTGTCAGGGTGCAAGAGAGTGTGTATGACAGTGTTTTGGACTCAAACCTGGGTTCGGTTCAAATTCTGCCTTTAGCAAGTTACTGGACTCCCTGACCTGTTTTTGGCCCCCCGTTAACTGAGAACAGCAATAGCTTCTGAAACGGGTTCCTGTGGAGACAGAGAGGTAACATGTGAAAACGCCAAGCACTGAGTTGGCATTCCTAGCTCCCCTTCACTTATTTCTCTGGGTAACACTTTAAAGACCCCTTGCCATCCCACCGAAAATGCGTCTCACCTGACCACTGCGCCTTTCTAGGGAGCAGGGTTCACTGACATTTTGGCGGACAGGAGAACTGCAGCACTTTAGAGACCCTTACGGGCAAACTCAAGACGAGTCTCCACCTCACAGAAAGCTGTGAAGAGCTGCCGCCACAAGACCTGAAGCTGGTCTTCGGTGATGACACTGTGGCTCCTCTTTCAGGGCAGGAGGCTCCACGCGCGGGTGTTATGGGGTAATAGCACCTCACAGTTCTACAGACACTCTAACACCTCCTGGAGGCTATCATATGCCGACAGCGCTTATACGCACTTTCCATATTTAGTCTCATTTAGTCCTAGTGATCCTCTGAGGCAGGCAACATTAGAGTCCCTATGTTACAGGTGAGGAAACTAAGGCACAGAGAAGCACATTCCACTAAGAAGTCATCGCGTGAGATTCTTGACCCGTGTGGTCTGACTCCAGGGCTCACGCTCTTGACCACGACACCCTCCCTTGCCCCTCGCCCCCACCCCGACGACTTGGACTTCTTGCAGCCATGGAGATTCCCACGTCTGTGGCTCCATGCAGAAGGCTAACCGGTAGTCACAGGGTAGGCTCTGCCTCTTCTTTTTCACTCTGGAGGTATGCAGGAAACGGATATGACCTTGTAAGAGTCAGTCAAAACTGTTACATTTACCTTACCAAGTAAATAAAGTCACAAAGAAAGAAAATTCTGTTTTTACCCAGAGGTAGACTTGTCTTCCATAATGCCATCTTATAAAGATCTTCAGTCTGCTAATAATAACCGCTAATCATATTTTCACTCTTTGCAGTTTTATGTCACTTCACTGATCTCTATCTTTCAAACTTGGGGAGCTTGTAATTTATTTAAGCAACAGATCAGAGAGAAGAGGGTGAGAGCCCTTTCCTCAGAAATGTATAAAGGCTGCCACAAGGAAGCCATCCTAGCAGAGAAGAATAGTCTAAGAAACCCCTCATCAATAAAGGTCCCTGCGGACTCAGTTTCTGGAGCCCCAGTTGTTAAATCCCTGGGATGGGACTCGTGTCCCTAAGCACAGGAGGAGAGGAGCTCTGCGTGGCCCATCCTCATGTACGAGGAAGAGCAGAGCTGTCCCAGGAGTCAGAAGACTCTAGGGAGAGGGGTTTTAAAAACAGCACAGCTCAGCTGGGCATCCCTGGAGCGATTGTTTTCCTCTGAGCGAGACAAATCTGTACCAGAAAGGAAGAGCTGAGGGAGGACCACAGGCGGCCTCGCTAATTGAAACCTGATAGAAGAAAGTGTTAAAACGCAGCTCGGTGAGGGCCCTGTGTGGAGCAGTGATGTGGCGCAGTGATGTGGCGCTCTCTGGGAGAGAACCACAAAGACTGCAACCCAGGGAAAATACCTTGTGAAAGGGAGCAAAACAGTGATAAGTCAGAAGTACTTCAGAGGATCCAAATTTAACAGGCAATCACTACACTGAGTGTAAAAATGATTTCACAGGTTTAATTAAAGCTTTAAAACTTGGCGTGGTCCCACAACAGCGGCATAGGTGCGGAGAAGGAAGTGTGGTCTTTCTCTTTTTATCTAGCAATATACTCATGAAGCATGGAAAGTGGGTTCTCATTTCATTTTCTCTCTACTTCTGGGAAGAGTTTTCATGTGCCCTGGAGCACATGGTCTGAGCAGTCTCTCCACAGCCTTTCCCTGGAAGGGGGTGAGGCTCACTCACCTGAGCCCCTCGGTCATTGACCAGTTCCACGGACCACCGTCCTTCATATTGAATCCACACAAATATCCCTCCATCCGCGTCACACGTGGCCAGCTTCTGGTACGGCTCATTCCACCTCACCAGCACAACCTAGAAACAATCAAGACAACGGTTACCACAGGGAAGGTGCCAGCGGGTCAGGATTATGCCCACAGAGATCAAACCTCAGAACTCAACAGAACGCGTAGTCAAAGGGAACGCCTGGGGGAGGATGTGGAGATTGGTGGAGGGGACTGGGCACAGCCCATGCACATGGCGGAGTCGCAGGGAACCAGAGCCACATAAAGGCTTGCTGACAAACAGCAGGCACCTGAGCAAACGGCGAATTACAGCATGAAAATGCCTATCGCTGTAAAACCAGAGGGCCCAGGTGCCATCTGTCCCTTCTTTGCCTTGCTTCTCAGAAGTGCAAGGATCTCTCACCTGCCAGTCCTGTACGATGGCAAAACAATTTTCACAAAATCTATTGTGTATTTGGTTTGAATCAGAGTATTATTTGGCACAGAAGGAAGAATGGATGAGGACTATTTAATTTCATTTCACTTCCAACATGAAATTTGCCATCTTTTCTAGACTCTTATTTTCAAATAGTTCAGCATCTAAATATGGCCAATTTAGACGATATACACACTTAAAATACCTAGGTTATTTAGGATTTATAACAGAGGAAATAAGAAATGATAAGTTTCAAAATGTTAAGAGTATAAACATTTAATTTTTATATTTGAAAAATTCTGAATCTGGGTAATAACTTTCATCTTTCTCAACTCTAACTTCCTCATCTTCTTCCTCTGGCAGGTGGTTTGCAGGATTAGGTAAATGCCTAACGACAGCCCTCACAGAGCTCAGTAAACCCTCTAAGGACACAGGACTATGAAGGGATCCCTAGAGCCCATGACCCACAAAACCATCTCCCCTCATTCACTACAATGCATCTTCCCTGGGTGTCGCCTGACTGGCCCATGCTGGTGATCATGTCGAATTCAGTCATTCAGTCAGAAACTGAGCTCACACTTAGGTTCATACTGTGTGATGCTGTGACCAATACGAAGTTGGAGAAGACCTGCTCTGCTCTTGGGAAAAGTCCAGCTGGGAGCCAGAACAGCCACAGATATGTGGACATATACTGACATGTGTCCGTCAAACTAGGCCTATCATTAAGCAGCAAGAGGCTGCCTAATGTTCATAAGAAAGCTTTGAATCCCCCTCCTCCCAGGGATTTGTGCCTACTAAACTAATAACCCTTGAGAACATGTGGCACCTGTGTTAAATGGTCTCCATATTCTAACTGACACAGTTGACCCATGAACAATGAGGGGGCTAGGGGTACTGACCCCACCCACAGCCAAAAATCCACCTAACCCTTTTGATTCCCCAAAACCTGCACTGCAGCCATCCAACTGCACTGCAGTTTCCATGAGGGACTGATTCCGGGGCCACTATAAATACCAAGATCCATGGATGCTCAAGGCCCCTGTATAAAATGGCATAGATCAGTGCATATAATTGGCCATCTGTACCTGTGGAGGCAAAACTTGGGAGATACAGAGGGTTGACCATTTATTTATTGGGAAACAACTTGCCTACAAGAGGACCCACACAGTTCAAACCTGTGTTGTTCCAGGGTCAACTGTACAATGACAGACTATCAAGGACCCACAATGACCAGACCCTTCCTGATGCCCACATGTGTCCAAAACACAGATCAACACAAAAGCCCAGTCATTTCTCAAAGCAGTACCATGAGCACAATGCTTTTAGGTCTTTTGGTTTGTTTTCAAGGCACCGGTGTGCTAGGTGTGGCCCCAAGCCCTGGTCCACCACACTTGGTGATGCTAGTGTTGGTTGTAAGATGCATACTAAAATCCTCAAATTTGTTGAGAGGAAATTCTTACCCACTTAAAATGTAAGAATACTGTAGCTGTTCATTAAAATTCTGCAAAAATCAGAGAGCTGTGAGGTTGTAACCTTGAGACATGGCAATCACCAGTCAAATCTGACCTAGCTGATGGCTCCCACACCAAAGGCAACTTCCACGGATGCAGACACCGACAACGGCCGGCAGCCCCGTCCAGCCACCCCTCCGCTGAGCACACCTGCCCGTCGTGCTCCCTGCGCTACAGGAGCGCTGCCCACGCCCCCCCCCCGCCCCGCCCCATGTGGGTGGAAACTTGCTGCACACACCCTCCCCACTGAGCTGTGCTGCTCAAGGACAGGCACAGTTGTGATCATCTTTGAACACCGACACAGCGATTTTGAATATATTGCGCCAAAGAGTAACACATAAGTAGAAGCTATGATCCTTATTCAGTAATATCTTTGAACTATAAAAGGTTATTGGAAACTATTTCAAGCATATTATTTGCAACTCCCAAAGGCTTTTTAACAACAGCTAATACTGCCTGCCTTCCTGCCTACTATAGGGTGTTGGTACTAAGACATATTTGTCCTTGTGGGGCTCAGTTCACCAAATGGACATAATCTAGTGCTCTCCCTGCAATCAGAGCTGTGAACATGCACAGGAGGGCCCTCGACACAGGGGGAGAGGGGGGCAACAAATCCAGGTTCACATTTTTAAGCCTAGTTTTTAAAATGCTCTAAATTACAGATCTAATTTTTAAAAAACAGTAAAGCACACACAGCAACAAGTGTCTTTCAATACAGTGAGTGTGTCACCTTTATAAAGTCCTCTCAGACCCAGAGAAGACTTGGCTGGAGCCTGGCGACCCACAATAGCACGCGCCACTACCATTCGGTCCCCGGAGCCACAGGCTCAGCATTTAAGCCCACAACTATTGAGGGCCTCCAGAATGGCTGCCACAGGGTGCAATACAACTAACAATATGACATTCCTTCTTACCGGTTTTGAATTATTTTCTTAACAGTGACCATTCATCTACTATGACCTTCCTTATAAAACAGCACTTGATGGCAAGGCATCATATCTGAAAGCACGGAGGTTAGTCACCTTTTCTGTACTTTTGCCTTGTTGCTTTAACATCTAGCATATATTGTTCACATCAATAATCAAACCCCTCTTCGTGAAACAGCCGGCATAGTCAGAGCATGACACAAACATGAAAGAGCAGAGGTAGGAAATATTCTAAAGCTATGTCTAATGTCAGAGATTTCTTAGTCTTATGAGAACATAGTGGTAGCTATGGGGTAAACAAGATGTTCTCAGCGTACTCAGTGCATCCTTTTGTAATTCCTGACCAGTTGAGATGAAGCTTTAAATGGAAACGCAGTTCCCCCTCACCACACACTTCTTTGCTGTGAGCTCTAATCGGTAAAACTGAGTAAGTGGGTGGCACCCCTAAATTAGGGGAAAAATCTTTCCAACAATTCTGGTTTAAAGATAAAGTCAGACAGCTGATGCTGTTGCCCTGGATCAGTGTTCTCACTTCTCCTCCAGAGTCTGTGGCTGCCCCCTTATCTCCTGGCAGCTCGTTTCCTGTTCCTGGCCCTTCCAGTCTATCTGGCAATGCTAGGGCATACCAGAGCGCTGAGGGATTACCAGCCAGCAGGCCAGCTGGGTTCTCAGTCGTGCAAACTATATCGCAGAATGCAGGGCGCCTAGGCATTCTAAAGCAGAACCCTTTCCCTTTTAAAGGAAAGGGGGCTCAGGGTCGCACTCAGTGCAGAAATGTTTAGGCTATTAGCCGGAAGGCATCTTCTTCTACCAAAAAGACAGAGGACAAGCTAAATTTTGACTTAGGTCTTTGATTATTTAAAAAACAAACAAACAAACAAACAACCCAGCCTGTTACCTATCATTTTATAGGTATTGTTATAATAAATATTGAGGACTATTAAAAGTAGATAATCTATACTAAAAATATAGGGCGGGTCTGCTGAAAGCCTATCTGGGCCCTGATCTAATACCCTAAATAAGTCACTTCACTTCTGACACCTATAACTATTTTTAGGGAGAATAAAACTGTGTCAGTGAACCCAACTCAAGGATATTCATCTTTTCAAGCAAGAACCCTTCAAATGGTGTTGATCAATACGAATATCATTTATATTTTACAGAAATATGTGGGAAACCACCTTAGTGTACAGCTAGTATCATCAATATTCAGAAATATTTCCCTCAACTGAAAAAGAATGTAATTGTAGTGAATGCTTAAATACAAATAGCTCGAGTATTAAATCCCTGTAAATGATTATCACTTGGTTCTTCTTCTTCTGTAATTTATTAAGTGAAACAGCAGTGAGTTCAATTGTTCAAGAAAAACAAAATGAGTGCCAGTTTATTTTTAGATACATTTAGTCGTTTAAACAAAGAACCAAGAGCATCTTAAAATAGAGGCTGGAAGAAGTTATTTGGGAACAGTAGTTTCCAAAATGGTGCCCATCAGCAGAGAATCCTGTGAAATGGCACGGCTGCAGGCAACAGTGGACCCACTTGGTGCCCCTCGCCCGGTCTTCCCAGGTTGGGAACAGCGGCGCATCCTTCTAGAGTTGTGAAGGGTATGAGAAAGGACCATGGAATAGTGCCAGGCACACAGCACATGTTCAGTCCATGAGAGCTCTGTATTATTTATTCGTAAGCTAACACTTCCCAAACATAAGTCTTCAGCACAGTATCTATGTCTAGTTTCTCCTTCTGAGAGATGGTTTGAAAGATGGTCCCTTTTCAGAGCTGCATTCTGTTCTCTGGCCCTTCCCACTCAACTCAGTGCCTTAAAAACCAGCACCCCCATACACTTCCTGCCCCCTGTGGCCTGGAACACCTCTCTGGCCCTCGGCGCCTGGCGGTGAAGGCGTTGCTGATGGTCCAGCCACTCCCTCTTGCCATCACCACAGCACGCCCCGGACAGGCGGCGCATGTGTTCAAGCCCTGCACTTGCCCCCAACCCTCTCTGTGTCTCACCAACTCAACTTCTCTGCTTTTGCATTGTTGGGGCCACAGCACTATCACAGGCACACAGTAGGCATGCCACAAGTATTTCTAAATTCCACCACTCCCGAGGGATGATTAAGTGAAATTCTGTAGAATATTATATTGTTCTCTCTCAAAAGCAAGATGTTAGAAATGGTTTAAATGAAGGTTCTTCTTTTTCTTCTTTTATTTGAGGGAACAG